CCTGTTTACTAATCAAATAGGTTGATTTTTCAGAGCCAGTTCACTTAATTTTCAAAGAAAAAGAAAATGCAAAACAAAAATCCTTCCTGAAATAATCCATTTTCACTGAGATTGTATGTAATGCCAGTAATAGAATAGTAGATCTTTCAACTCCTGTATGAAAAATTCAGATCTCTTGGTTACGTATCAAATACTACATTACACTATTACCTGGTTTTTTTTTTTTTTTGCAGAAAATATTATTGCTGAATAATCTGGGTAAATAAATTCATCTTCAGCTATGAGGATGAGATCTGTCATAGCTGATGAAACTCAACTAAGAAAATTTGCATTCAAATATTATATATCCTGACTCTACAATGAAAGAGTTGCTTTTACGTAGATAAAAATTTGTGAGAAGAGATACATTTGCAGATAAAAGCATTTTGGTTGTGGAAGTTAGACCACAACTAACCAGTGTTAACAGCAACTGACTAGTATCTTGAGCATGAAATTCACTGTCTTATGTAATCATCAGAATGTCACTATGAGGCTGGATTTTTGTGCCTCTCATATAGAGAACTAACCTGAAGTTTACCCAAAGTCACAAAGGTGTGTAAACATTGGTACCAGCATTCAACTCCAGAGCTGTCTGATGCTGTAGCCCCAGTTCTTTACATATAAAAGTATTCTTTGGAAATATTTTTGTTTCCACAACCATAATGCATAATCTGTGGAATGTGTTCCTGTTGTAATATAGACAGGTGTTATTGTAAAATCAAGATACAACTCGGGGCCAGCAGGTGGTGTGGTGGTTAAGGATACTGGATTCCCACATGACCAACTACGGTTTGAGTCCCAGATCTGGTGGCTTGCTTTCTCTCTGTCTCCCTCTCTTTCTTTCTCTCTTGCTCTCACTCTGCCCCCCTCTGGTCAAATTAAAATAAGTAAATAAAGTTAAATAAAATAATTCTTTTAAAAAAATCAAGATACAACTTAAAAACCTCCAAGTAATCATTCAAAATAATAAAACTAGGACCAGCCTCATGGCCTAGGCCAAGGAACTAGATACCCCATGGTAGATGGCATGGTTTGAATCCTGGCCCTGGGATCAACGTGCTTGACATGTGTATGTGGCCAAAATCCTGACGGGTTGGAGAAATGGAAGAGCAGGGATCGCAGCATCACCATATCCTATCGAGGGGTTCTGTCTCCCTCTTTTCTCTTTTCTCTCTTCTAGAGAGAACACAACTCTAGCTCTGCTCCCCCCCCCCCACGAGCTAAAACACTGAAACTGTATTTTAAGTTCTAATATTATAAATATGCACATGCCATACAATAGCCTTTGTTTTGCATAGTAGGGTAGGACCATAAAAGTGATCACACAAGTTGAAAACATGCAAAATACACCTATTTAGTAAAAGATACTAAAATTATTCTGTAATATTTTAAGTTTTGTTTTTGTTGTTGTTGTTGTTCTGGGGCCAGCAGGTGGTATGGTTGTTAAGTTGCTGGACTCCCACATGGTCGACCATAGTTCGAGTCTTGGACCTGGGGGCTTGAAAATCATGCTGGGTGTGTGTGCATACGTGTATCCCCAAAATGTTGAGAAAGAGAATGGAGAAGAAGGGATTGGGTGTGGCCATCCCCCTTGGGATGAGTTCTCACTTTCCCTCTCACTGTCTCTCTCTGTCTCTGTCTGGTGAGTGCATGCACTCCATGCCCCCCCCCCAAAAAAAAATCTATTAAAAAACATATTTTTTTTTGTTCTGTGATTTAATTTTTGTTTGTTTGTCTATGCCTTGGAAAATTCTCCTACTCCTTTGTAAGTCTGGATCACCTTCCAACATTTTATCCTTTGTTCTGTCGACATTTGGAAATATCTCTGTGAGTACATTTCATAACGATTACTTTTTTCATTTATGTTGAATAATTTGCCCTCATTGAATTCCTTTGGCTGCATCTCTAAAGATCCTCAAACTCCTGTGTCAACATTCCCACATTCAGGTATTGCTTCTATAATATAACTCTGTTTACATTTGATTCAAATTTGACTTCCAACATCCTCATCGTTTCTTTGTTGTGCTTTTTTTCTCCTAATTCTCTCATTTAATTGTCCATTTTAAAAAAATGACATGGGTTTATTTATGTTTGGGAGGTAAAAGACAGCACAACTACGTACTGCTGTCTCCAAGTGAATTGTGATCATCACTGACAGATTTTTTTTTTTTTTTGAGACATTTTTGCTATGGGGCACGTGCACTCACCAGAAAGACAAAGAGAGACTGAGTGACAGAAAGTGAGAAATCAACCCCCCTGGGGGGGAATATGGCCACGCGGCAATCCCTTCTCCTCCATTCTCCTCTCGAGATCTTGGGCATGCATGCAAATGCACCCGGCATGAGTTTAAGCCACCAGGTCCAGGACTTGAACCGTGGACGACTACATGGGAGTCCAGCTACATAGCCATTAAGCTAACTGCTGGTCCCAATCACAGACAGATTTTAAATAAAGTGACATGATCAGTCATTGGTTATGATGTTATTATGTAGTGATGTTGTAAACTGAAGAGCTAGCAGCTCTATCTGCATTACTCACAATTTATTTATCTGGTATATCTCTATATATCTACTGTATTATAAATTGATATGTATATATTTAACTTCAAACAATATGTTAATTTTAAAAATGCTAATCACTAAGGTATACTTAATATTTATTATATCATAATAACAAATATTGGGGTCAGCAGGTGGCATAGAGTTTAAGGCGCTAGACTCCCAAATGGCTGACCGTGGTTTGAGTCCTGGACTTGGCTCTTGATTTCTCACGTTCTTTCTCTCTCTGGTGAGCAGACGTACCCTAAGCAAATTAAAAATAATAATTGTAATGATAATAAGTAAAGTTAAATAAATAATTATTTTTAAAAGGATAAACTTTAATCATTAGAGTATAATTAATACTGTCATAATACTTATTGATTTTTTAATTAATTTAAGTTATTATTATTATTATTTAATTTGCTGTAAGGCCATTGTATTCACCAGAGAGAGACAGAGAAAAAGAGGGGGAAAGTGAGAAAGCAAGCCTCCAAGTGCAGGACTCAGACCTTGGTTGGCTATGTCAGAGTCCAGCACCAACCACCACACTGCCTGCTGGCAGCATAATAGTAATTATTATACTTGCCCTGTGGGAATTTAGAAGACTTTCAAGGATTTAATATATGATCTAGGAAGTTTGGATTTATATCTTCCTTTAGATATAAAGACATTTAAATCAATCCCTTATTCTTAAAGCAAGTCTTAAGATAATTTAAAAACATAAGAGAAAAAAAAACAAGCGCAGAGGGATATGAATAGCATGATACCTCTAATATATGCATTAAAATGCAAATAGTATTATTTGTGTGTTGAAAAACATTTTCCTTAGAAGAATGTAAAAACTCCTAATTCATAGTAGTGGTTACCCATATGGATAGGAGAGAAAATGCTTTTAGAACAGCTTCAGATCAAATAGTTCTAAAATTGGGCTTGTGTTTTCTAATTCTGATGTCTCCAGATTGGCTCCCCGTTGTATTTCAGTGCCTCCGTGAGATTTGCCAGGGCATCCAAAGCGAGCAGCCTAAGTCTTTCTATATGAACTGTATTCAAGAAAACATAAAATAAATTTCTGGGGTGTTTAAAAAAATTCACAGATTAATGAGACAATATTTTATATGAAGACCTGAGTATTTTTCATTAAATAATAATACTACCACTATATAATAATAAAACTGTCAGGTTATTCAAATTAATTATTAATTTTTAGAATTATTTTGGACCAGCAATTGGAATAGCTTGTAAATAATTCTTTTAGTCCTAAAACTATGTATTTCTCTGGCTTCTAGATGAAAAACTATCAAAGGTAGTGCTTACTTATTTGGGGGATACATGATTATTTCATTTATTTATTTTTAGATTTTTGCCAAGGCACATTCACTTGCTGGAGAGAGACAGAAAGATAAAGTGACAGATCGTCTCCAGGGGAGGGATGAGCATGCCACAGTCCCTTCTCCTCCATTCTTCTCTCAGGATTTGGGGAATACACACACACACACACACACACACACACACACTCATGCTCAGCTGTGTTTTTTTTTTTTTTCAAAGACAGATTTTGCTACAGGGCATGTGTGCTTGCCAGAGGCACAGAGAGAGGGGGGTAAAACACACACACACACACACACACACACACACACACACACACACATACAAGAAATCATCCCCCGGAGGGATGGCCATGCCACAATCCCTTCTCTTCCATTCTCTTCTTAGAACTTCGGACATGCATGTACACAAGTCTGGCATGAGTTTTAAGCCACCAGGTCCAGAACTCAAAACATGGTCAGCTCTGTGGTAGTCCACAGACATAACCTTTAGACCATCTGCTGGTCCCTGCCCAGCATGGGAGTCACCAGGTCTGGGACTTGAACTGCAGAGTTGGCCATGAGGGAGCCACTCAGGATGCCACCTGCTAGCCCTAAGCAATTATTTTTAAGGGGATGATTAAGGTACTCAGCATTGTTTACTAGGTTATAGCCATAGGTTTTAAGCCTGATTTTGGATTGAGCTGTGAGAAGGAGAGAATAATTCATAGACACCTTCAGGCAGTCACGCATGTTGCATGAACTAAGGTGGAGATGAGGTCTAAGGCTCTCAAAGTAAAAATAGTATGCTTACCTCTTGAAGTCATGCTTTCTGTAAAACATTATTTGAATAATAATTTTATGAGAGTGTATGTATAATGCAAGAGCGTTTGGATGGTAAAACCTTACAGTAGAATTCTATAGAATTATGTACTTTTTCATTGACCTATGTACCAGAACTGTTGAAATAAGAAAAGACATGCAAATTTAACTTGAAATAATGGGAACATTGGCTCTGGAGCAGTTGCCGTAAATGTATGTAGGCCTGATTGAATGGATTTAGTTCATCTTTGGCGTTGCACTGAAGTCATTTGGAGACTTTCTTTTGCCATTGCAGGTAGAGCGGGAAAAGGCCATTCTTCTGGCCAATCTTCAGGAGTCACAGACACAGCTGGAACACACCAAGGGAGCCCTGACAGAGCAACACGAGCGGGTGCACCGGCTCACGGAGCACGTTAATGCTATGAGAGGTTTGCAGAGCAGCAAAGAGCTCAAGGCCGAGCTGGATGGGGAGAAGGGCCGGGACTCGGGGGAGGAGGCCCATGACTATGAGGTGGACATCAATGGTTTAGAGATCCTAGAGTGCAAATACAGGGTGGCAGTAACTGAGGTGATTGATTTGAAAGCTGAAATTAAGGCCTTAAAGGAGAAATATAATAAATCTGTAGAAAACTACACTGATGAGAAAGCCAAGTATGAAAGTAAGATCCAAATGTATGATGAGCAGGTGACAAGTCTGGAGAAGACCACTAAGGAGAGTGGTGAGAAGATGGCCCACATGGAGAAGGAGTTGCAAAAGATGACCAGCATAGCCAATGAAAATCACAATACCCTTAATACGGCTCAGGATGAATTAGTGACATTTAGTGAGGAGCTCGCCCAGCTTTACCACCATGTGTGTCTGTGTAATAACGAAACTCCCAACAGGGTCATGCTGGACTACTACAGGCAAAGCAGAGTCACCCGCAGTGGCAGTCTAAAAGGGCCTGATGATCCCAGGGGACTTTTGTCTCCACGATTAGCCAGGAGAGGTGTGTCTTCCCCAGTGGAAACAAAGACCTCGTCTGAACCAGTTTCAAAAGAAAACACAGAGGCCAGCAAAGAACCTAGTCCAACTAAGACCCCCACAATCTCTCCCGTTATTACTGCCCCACCATCGTCTCCAGTACTGGATACTAGTGACATCCGCAAAGAGCCAATGAATATCTATAACCTTAATGCCATAATCCGGGACCAAATCAAGCACCTGCAAAAAGCCGTGGACCGGTCCTTGCAACTGTCTCGTCAACGAGCAGCTGCTCGGGAGCTGGCCCCCATGATTGATAAAGACAAGGAAGCCTTAATGGAAGAGATTCTCAAGCTGAAGTCCCTGCTGAGCACCAAGCGGGAGCAGATTGCCACGCTGAGGGCAGTGTTGAAGGCCAACAAACAGGTAATCTTATTCTGCTGGCAAAGCATTGCTAGTCTAGCTGATTGATTCCGTGGGGGTGTGGTCAGTATCATCAAGGTATGAGTTCAGATATCTGCTCAGGGGAGGAATGAAACTAGGTCCCAGTGCCAGATGAGAATGTAAGAATTGCTTTTAAGTGATGAATGGACGCTGTGGAAGAGTAGCTGTGCCCAACTAGATAGAGGAAGAGGTGAGGAAGTTAAAGCAGGGACAGAGGAGAAAGTCTCCTTGCAGATGTAGAAAGGCAGTCCAGGTAGTGCTAAGCTAGAGCCTGGCCGTCTGTGAGTATGGAAACGGGAGATGGAGGGTGGCAGGATAGGCTGCCCCGGCTGCCCACACCAACCAGGAAGATGCAGCAAGAAAGACAGTCATGCTGGCAGGCAGCTGGAGCCAACAGGAGAGTCTGGGTGCCAAGAGGAGGAAGAAGGTCCAACAGCCACCAAACAGACTTTGAGGTTGACAGTTTTCATTTAAGACTATTTCTAAGAGCATAGCAAGATAGAAAAGGACCATCTTATCTTTCATCCCAGAGTTGGGGAAACAAGTACTAGACAAATGGTCAAATTGGGGATGATGAACCGAGCTACTTAGGGGGAACTGAGTGAGGAAAACAAGCCAGGCAGATGGTTATCAAGAAATGAAATCGTGGGACCAGCAGTTAGCGTAATGGCTATGTCGCTGGACTCCCATGTAGTCGACTGTGGTTCGCGTCCCGGACCCAGTGGCTTAAAACTCACGCCAGGCGCTTGTGCGTGCGTGCCCAAGATCCTGAGAGGAGAACGGAGGAGAAGGGATTGTGGCGTGGCCATCCCCCCTGGGGAGTGTTTTCTCGCTTTCTGTCTCTGTCTCTCTCTGTCTGTCTGGCGAGTGCACGCGCCCTATAGCAAAAACCTCTCCAAAAAAAATAATAAAGAAATGAAATCGTTTGGGCCACATTACCAATATATAAGATAATGTGAGAGGGAGGAAGAGTGAGGAAGGATGGTAAAGTGAAGGGAGTGGGAAAGGAAAGAGCACTCGCTCTGCCAGGGACCACATCTCTAAAATTTAGGGTCAGTGAGGATGTGGGGTAAGCTTGGTCAGAGCTTTAGCAGTGGAGGGGTTTTCCTAACAATAGATCTTGTCCTTCTGGAATAAGTAGGGATTCCTATGGTTCCGTGCCTGATTCCTGGAACTCCTTGATAACTGAAATGGTTTTCTACCCCTGAGTTTCCCTTGGATGGAAGTGCTATGAAATATGAGTGGGAAAGTATTTTTAACTCCTGTTGAGTTGATCTGAGATGATAGCCATAAAAGGCATATTTGAGAAGAGTGCTGGATAAATGCTGAAATTGATGAAGTGAAGCCACAGGCACTAAATGCCTGCTGCAAATGCAGAAAGTACCAGTGAGTAGTGGGGCATCAGAGCTCTGGCTCTATGGAGAATGAGGGTTAATTTCAGATTCAGGATGCCTTCACTTTTGCCCTACTCTGGGGGAACCATGCCATTATCATATCATCTGCAATGTAGCATTCTAGTCTTCATTTTCAGTTCATTGATAAAAATCAGAGGTCTCTACCATTTAAAGAAGTAGAAAATACTAGAGTGAATGAAGAATTTGTGGGAGGGCTCACTCCCAATTTGAGGTCAGATGAAGAGATTCGTTACCAGAAACTGAGCTATAATCCATAGACCCAATGATTTAGAGTGGTCACAAATCACCCATAAGGCTTGCACAACCTTTGCAAGGACATAATGTCCTTGGCCATTCTTGCTGAAGCCATTCAGATCCCTTCTCTGATTTCTTCTTGAAGTTGGATATCAATAACCTGGAAAGCTAGATTTATGAAAATGTCAAGATGCTTAACTGAAACAGGTTTAGAGATGGATGGTTGATCGATCAGTCAGCAGAGGCTCTTTGTGAACAAGCATTCATTGAATTTATTTCTTGGAAAGGTAGTAAGCAGGGATGCAAAAATAAGTAACTAATAACCTGGCAGGAATTCAACTCATGCCTATAACTACTTATAGGCTAGGACATATCAAGCACTTTAGAGTGGGATAAAAAATGCCTTAGGATTTTAGAGCAGAACAGAGCATTCCTAGCTGAATTTTGATTTTCACAGTGTTTGTGGTACCACTGTGTTACGTTAGAGTCACAGCCCTAACACAGTTTAACCATGCACTTGGTACATATTTTCATGGTGTTGGACCTATGGCCATGATGTTATGTGCCGTAAATAGCTTTAAGTCTCAACAGATGCCATTTATTATTACTTAGACATTGTGGAATGTTCATTGTTAAGGTTAGGGGAGAATTCTGTAGTAGAGGGGAAAAGGAAATCTTCCTGTTATAAAATGAGCATTCTATATCCTCCAGGAACCTTTTAATGTCTTGTACTTTAGAGCTTTTCCATCAGCATGGTGTTTGCCAATGTAATAAGTGTTTCTGAAGCCCCATCTACGCAGTAAGTTGTGCTAGACGCTGAAGACTCGAAGAAGACTAATACATCATGCCTCCTGCCTTCCAGAAGCAGACTCACAGCCTAGTGAGAATATCAGAACACAAACAAATGTCTGTACAACGTATAGAACACAGACAGATGTTTGATGTTATACATGCTGCAATCCAAGTTATGTGAACATTGCAAAGGATGCAGCTGATATTTCCTAAGGATTGGATCACCTTTGTTAGGGTGATCTTTGTCACAGGTGGTAAAAGCATTCACAGTCTCAGAGAGCGCGTGGATAGGAGAGGTTTATTCCCTTTCTTAGGGAGGAAAGGGGCCAGATTCAGGGAGTTGCATCAGTCCTGAAGGGGGTGGGGCTAGGAGCTTTTATTGGGTTTTATAGGTGAGGGGTGTATGGCTGGGTAATTAGGGCGATTCTGAGACAGGGTACCTGTTGGTCTTTGCAACAGCTGGAATATTTCATTGTTATCTCTGATTGTCATGTCCAACCACTTTGATCCTGTGTTCGTTTGGCTGGTTGTCCATCTGGGGCATGGTAAGTGATGGGGGTCTCAGTCTCCATATATGAGGGCAGAAACTTAAAAAGCAAGTCATTCATCTGCATGAGGTCAAGGAGGGGCTAGCTAACTCCAGAAGGAAAGGAGAGAAAAAATAATGCCTGAAACACCTTGGCGTTTTGGATGTGCCTTTCCAAATAAAATACCTAAGGTACCAGGGAAATACTGAATTAATAACCCTTTCAGACTTCACAGAAGCAATTAGAGACTTGAGTGTTTTCTTAAGCGATAAGAAGTTATTTTCTAGAGGAAATCCTTCCAGACAGAAAGAATGGGAGGCAGACAGGCCCAGGAGGAGCACATGAGGACAATACAGTCAGGGAATGTTGGGAAGATCTTGCTATAGGATGGGAGAGTGTTGATCTGTGTTGTGTAAAATCCTTGGTTCTTTAGATCTTAAGATTAGAGGCCTGTCCTGAGACACAAAATTAAAAACTACAAACACTTGAAATGTAGGAAAAGGGAAGTTTTAATAGGAAAGTGAGGATTTTTTAATAAGAAAGAAGTGCACTTCTATGCCTGAAAGGCATGCAGTTGGGCAGCTGCCAGAGAAAGACAGCACGCTGGATATGTGGTTGGGTGTTACAGTTATTCTCAGAGTCGGGAATGAATATTTAGCAGGGGAAGTTCTGTCGTAGTTTTTGTCTCCTTTGTTTGAATTTGCGAACATTTTCCCTGAGCTTAGTATCTCTCTCACAGGTGAGGAATTTATTTACCTAATCATGCATGCGCAGTGTGGACTTAGAAGGTATGAGCATCCTTATTTGGATGAACTGCCCAATCAGTTTATTGCCCCAATGGGAATCAGGATGTTGACCAAAACGTCTTGTTGGGTCCTTTTGTATTTATGAGGAATGATAAGAGGGAAATTAACAACCATCCCTATGTGCCTTTCTCAGGTACTAAAGAAGAAAAATGGGATCTGCCTCGCCCTCCCGGCGCCAGGAGCTGGGTAGGAGGAAGGAGTCTCTGCAGAGGGTCTAGTTATAACTTCTGATATATTGTGATTGATATGACAGGTGTCCTTCTGCTGTTTTCTTAGGGCTACCTACTCATTTCTAGCTAACTGCCTATCATAATCTCTGGCTGGAGATAAGATTATTTTAAAGTTCAAAAGTTATCTATGAGAGCTCCTGGAGAATATGGTAAATGCAGAACATCTAATGGGAAATAGATACTTGAAATTACTTGATTCCGAGAAAGCTTTGTAGTCTATGGACAAGCAAAGCTGAGTCCTTTGGGGTGTTTTGCACAAATAATAAATGAGTTTGTACATCTATTTCAGATCTAGGTGTTTTGTCAGTCCTTTCCTTATTTACTGAGCATGTGACTGACTACGTGCTTACAAATTTGTTGTATCTTAATTTTTCACAACTGAAACACAACTAAACTACCTGTTCCAAATAAATATGTATCTAAAGTTTTAAAAACCTAAACAATCACCATTTTCCCCTATGCCATTTTCTGCATTTTGGATAATTCTCTGAGTCTATATTATTTCTTTAGATACCACTGGATATAGCACTATAGAACATATAAACATATTTTATGAATAACATCTCATTTTGATCTGAATTTATATTCAATAAAAACTAGAATACTAGGAAACTACTTTAGAATCACAGCACTAAAAAACTACCCCATCCCAACAATGGCTTAATTAAAGAACCCGTCTGTAACTATAGAAGTTGGCCCTCTGCATAAGAAAATTGAAGCTGTCCATTTTAAGCATAAAAAGAAGCATTAAAAACCAGTGTAATCATCCCAGGAAATCCCATTAGTAATGCACTTCTTCCCTACTAATCCATTTTTTCATTACTTTTACACACCCTGAAAAACTGTAGCTTGGTTTGTAAAAATTGTGTATTTCCAATTTGATTTTAATATGCATGCCATGTGCTGTGCATGGAACACATGGATCCTAAATATATACTGAATTTATATATTGATTCTGTCAGTGTGTTTTTTACTACCTACCATGTGCCAGGCCAACTCTTGATTTGAAACACCAATTCCAAGAACATCAGACATGCCAAGATCCCAAATTCACACAAATACTTTAACTCATTTAACACTTTGTAATTTCTGCTTTTTAGGAGACTATGAAGGATTAAATTTGAGTCTTAATTCATTGCATTGAACAAGTGTATAGACCTAGAAATTGATTGAGTCTGTCAGTTCTTTTCCTTAAACATATAATATCATGGATTTGTAGTTTATCATGTATTCGTATTATACATTACAATGGTATATTCATTTTAGTCTGTTTATTTTTAAGACCCACTGAGTATAGGTGCCAAAAAAACCCTTGATTTCTATCATATTTCAACTGGAAGCTGTACTTTTATGCTAAGTTTTTAATAACGTTATTCTATTAAGTTTCATTTTGGTTCTCTCCATGTCTGAAAATCCCATTATCTTTAGTAATCTGCATTAAATATTTACTGAACTACTGTCATTCTGTTAGCTCCTGATACTGACCCTGGTTAACATCTGGTTTCCAGGACATGTTAACTGCATTATGGATTCACAACATATTTTGACATTAAAGAAAAACTTCCCTATGTAAATATTCACACACACACACACAGAATTTAATCAATTCAATTTCACTTTCCATTTATGAAAGAAAATAATAGACCCAACCTGAAGAAATTCATGTGATAGATTGTATTGATAGGAAAATTCTAACTATTGTGATTTTTCTGCTTTAGACAGCTGAGGTGGCACTAGCTAATCTCAAGAACAAATATGAAAATGAAAAGGCAATGGTGACTGAAACTATGACAAAGCTTAGAAATGAACTGAAGGCTTTGAAAGAAGATGCTGCAACTTTCTCATCCTTGAGAGCGATGTTTGCAACAAGGTAATGACTTTTCCCCCCTAAGATTAGGTGTCACACGTGGGGAAAAGACTCAAATTCTTAAGTGTGGGACAGCTCAGTGCACTTTTGGTTAAAGGAGCCAGGTCTCACATGGCCAACTGTGCAGTTCGAATCCTGGTTCTGGTGACTTGAAAAACATGCCATGGGCCAGCAGGTGGCATGCTGGTTGAGGCGCTGGACTCCCACATGGCTGACTCGTGAATTTTATTCTTTTAAAAATTTTGCCATAGGGAACCAGCAGTTAGCGTAATGGCTATGTCGCTGGATTCCCACGTAGTCGACCGCGGTTCGTGTCCCAGACCCGGTGGCTTAAAACTCACGCCGGGCGCGTGTGCGTGCGTGCCCAAGATCCCGAGAGGAGAATGGAGGAGAAGGGATTGCGGCGTGACCATCCCCCCTGGGGGGTGATTTCTCGCTTTCTGTCTCTCTGTCTCTCTCTGTCTGTCTGGCGAGCGCACGCGCCCTACAGTGAAAATCTCTCCAAAAAAAAAAAAAATTTTGCCATAGGGCACGAGTGCATCCTGCATGTATTTGGCATACTGTTTAGGATGGTAAAGTGTAAAGAAAATATATATCAGATTCCACTTTGGGTCTGGCCCTGCAGCCTAGTGATCAAGGCCGGCTGCAGTTCAAATCCTGGCCCCAGTGGCTTAGAAAATGTGCAGGGTACATGGGTGCGGATGCCCCAAATCCTGACAGAATTTAGAAATGGAGGAGAAGGGATTGTGCTGTGACCAAGCCCCATCAGTAGGGGGATGTTTTCTTCCTCTCTCTCCTTTACCTTCTTTGTAAAGTAAGTGCACTTGCTCTCTGGCACTTAAAAAAAAAAAAAAAGAGTAAAAAAAAAGAAAAGAGATTCCTCTCTAACAAATCTAAGATAAAACTTTGCTCTTGTCCATAGCCTTCCTCTAGACACACTAGATCCAGCAATTATATTCCATGATAATATTTTTTAATTAATATAACAGACTTTTTTCCCCTTCAACTGAAGTGCCCAAAATAATGAAGCCAGAAGGGACCAGCAGTTAGCATAATGGCTATGTTGCTGGACTCCCATGGAGGCGACCGTGGTTTGAGTCCCGGACCCGGTGACTTAAACTCACTCTGGGCACGTCTGCGTGCTTTCCCAAGATCCCGAGAGGAGAATGGAGGAGAAGGGATTGCAGCGTGACCATCCCCTCTGGGGGGTGATTTCTCGCTTTCTACCTCTCTGTCTCTGTCTGTCTGGCAAGCGTACGTGCCCTATAGCAAAAACCTCTTAAAAAAAAAGAAAAAATTTATCTCACTTTCTGTTTCTCTCTGTGTTTCTGGCAAGTGCATGTGCCCTATAGCAAAAACCTCTCCAAAAATAAAAAAATAATGAAACCAAAGGAAAAATGAGGGAAAATACTTGACTTCCTAAAATCACTAATTGTATTATGACCACTTAAACATGTTTCAATGACTAAAGTACATGAAAGTATTTGCAAGTGTGTTTATTACCATTAGTATTGTGTAAGATGTTACCTTTATAATGAAGATTGTTACTCATCATTTCAGATACTTACCTAGACTGTAATATACTATACATTGAATTGTAGTGTCTAAAATCTAATTATATATTAGGTTGCTGGGAAAATCATGATGTGTTTTTCTATGCAAAAAATGTGTCATGACTTTCCCAATGACTTAATATATACCACCAAACTTTTCACATGCTCAACTAGTTACACAAATATTAGTTTCTACCTCTACTCACCTGTCTTCTAATGAGGCATCATTATATATATATTTTAACTTGGATTGTTAAGACAATATTGATTAGACACCAGCAGATAGCATTTATGTCACTGGACTCCCTCCTGGCTTACCATAGTTCATGTCCCAACCTGGTAGCTTCAAACTCATGCTGGGCACACAAGTGTGCGTGCCCAAGATCTTGAGAGTGGAGGAGAAGGGATTGCGGCATGGCCATCCCTCTCGGGGGGTGATTTCTTGCTTTCTGTCTTTCTTTCTGTCTCTCCGGCGAGTATACGTGCCTTATAGCAAAAAATATCTCTTAAAAAGAAGAATATATTGAATGGATTCAAAAATCTTTGAGATTTTCTATACATTGCTGAAATACCTTTTTTTTGCTGACACAATGCAGTGCCAAGAAGTGGGAGTGATTGAATGTCTCCAAAAGTTCATGTGTTGGGGCTTGGTTGTATTGTAAAGGTGTTAAGTGAAAGCTTAATTCTTTCATGGTGTGCCAGGGTGGGGCCTTTGGGTGTGAAAACATCATTATGATGGCCCCGTAATTGGGTTCTGGTGTATAGAAGGAGAGGCGATATACAGGCAGAGCCATGTGGATACAGACCACCACCATGCTGCTCAGGGGCCTGCCTTTCCCAATTTTCTAGTGCCTTTGGACTTTCTGGCTACCAGAATTGAGTTAATAAACCACTGTTTCATTAGAAATCACCCAGGCTCAGGTGTTTCTCAAGTAAGCAGTGCAGCAATGAACTAAGACAGTCTCAAATTCCATTGCACCAAGATCGGTCCCTGACCATGCTTCTGTCTGGGTTCCAGATGCGATGAATACGTCACGCAGTTGGATGAAATGCAGAGACAGTTAGCAGCCGCGGAGGACGAGAAGAAGACTCTAAACACTTTGTTACGAATGGCTATCCAGCAAAAACTCGCCCTGACCCAGAGGCTGGAGGACTTAGAGTTTGACCATGAGCAGTCCCGACGCAGCAAAGGCAAACTTGGAAAGAGCAAGATCGGCAGCCCTAAAGTAAGTGGGGAGGCATCAGTCACCGTGCCCACCATAGACACTTACCTCCTGCATAGTCAGGGCCCACAGACACCCAACATTCGGGTCAGCAGTGGCACTCAGAGGAAAAGGTATGCATGCAGCGATCTTCATAGTATGGTGCAGTGGCCAGATTTTAGTTGATTGCAAAAGTGAATGTGCTTTTGTTGTAGAGGATGGAGGAGGGGAAGGGAAAGAAAAAACTGGGAGCTGGTATACGAATGGGCCTTGCTAATATTGGTCTTACCGGATTAAAACCTTGTGATGACTGTGTTTATACATTCCTTTCTGTCCCTCCCCAACCCTACCTCTTGATGAACCGTAATAGAATTTTCAAATGTCTGTTAATATGTCTGCTGCTCCTTGTACGCATAAGTAGGCCTCTCCCTTACCTCCAGCCTAAAATTGGTAGATCAAGGCGGATGTTAAGAATGAAGCTGTGTTCTCCGAGGGCTGTAACTAAGTCATTGTAGCTGGGGAAATGGTGCTATTAACCAGCTTGTCCTTAATGGGGCAAGGATACGAATGTGGTCTCTTTGGGGAACGTTTGTCCATATGATCGAAACTGATGACTGACTGAAAGGGGACATCCATGTTTAGTTAAAGTGAAATATAATGTGCATATAGTCCTTTTCTTAAAAGTAGGTGTTTGTGCTTTTTTTCATTTGGCATGTGAATATTGCTCAGAGAAACCACTTACAAGGTTTTGATAAGTGGCTTGATTGTGTGATCTTTTTCCAGAGTACTGGCTGTTGAATTGCTTACCTTATATTTTTGGTTAATGGTAATTTTTATTTTAGGAGTTTTCGTGAATGGATCAAATCATACATATATTTTTTTATTTGCGGTTCAAACTAACTATAATAAATTTCTTTTTCAGTATCTAAAACAGTTTCCAAATAGGTTGTATCCTGACGTGGAAACTGAAAAAATTAGCCAAAATCTTGGTTTACAGATTTTAAAAATTAAATGCCATTATAAATAATGTTGTCACTGGTGAGCCGTTGAAAGGTAATTAAAGTAAAACTTTTTTGTTTCCTATATGTATTTTTCTTGGATCTCCTGCAAGACAATTTTCACCTTCCCTTTGTGATCAGAGCCGTCCCAGGACTTCAGGGGCTTCCTACCTACAGAATTTATTAAGAGTTCCCCCTGATCCCACCTCCACAGAATCATTTCTTCTGAAGGGCCCCCCTTCCATGAGTGAATTCATCCAAGGGCACCGGCTCAGCAAGGAAAAAAGGTTAACCGTGGCTCCACCAGGTAAACATTTTTTCCTTGGGTGCATGTGATGCAAATGATTAGTTCAATAGACAACTCTCCCCTTCCTTCCAGCCACTCGTGCCCAGCCATCTGCCGAGTCTAACTCTGATGGTGTGCGGATTCCTCCAGTTACAGCAAAAACCCATTACACGTAGCTGCCTGTTTCCTCCTTTATTCACAGCCAGACCTCAGGCCTCAGAAGTCTCCAGGGACTTGCATTTACCAGCGAAGGATGAAAATGAGAGTTGGAAGGAATGGGATAGGTAAAGAGAAATTAGCAACAGGTGCATCGCAGGACTTGCACCTGGATCCTATTTGCAGTTGGGTAGCTCACGCGGATTCCATCCTGGTCAGATATGTGTGTTTGCTCTTACGATTTTGAATACAATGTCAGTCAAGGGAGCCATGTTTATAATAAGCCTTTTGGGCTCATTTCCTTTTGTAGTGACTCAGAATGTCTCCTCAATTATTAAATAGAAAATAAAAGTAAAATCCTCAAAGGTTTTGCTCCTCAGGAACATTTAGGTCTTAGCATCATGTGCTTGTAGTTGCAAGCCTTTAATGATTTGTGCCTGCCAGGATGCTCACAGTTCATTTTAGCTTCACTCCTGTGCATTTTTCTTTCTGTCTGTCCTTTCTTCCTCCTTCTCTTCCTTCCTTTTCTCTCTCTTTTCTTCCTTTCTTATTCTCTCTCTGTCTTTCTTTTTCTTTCTTTTTACTTTTGCTGTGAAGAGGCCTAAATTGAACACTCAACTTTTGGCAAATAAAGATCATCCTTTTGAGAAATCCCTATATTGTTAACCATAAGCCAGAAGTTGCAAACAGGAAGCCCATGAAATAAAATAAATCCTATGGCAGCAATCACTTGGCTATTGCATGAATGAAAAATTAAAAACTAATTTAAGTTTGTTGTCAACGGTTACACACTCAGAGATTTCTCATGAACATTTTTATTTTTTGCCTCTTTTGAAAGATTCTGAATATCTGGCAGCCCTAGGTCTGCCTTCATGCATGTTAAGGACCTGTTGGAGCTCTGTAATGGCTGCTACTATTAGGGCAAGTGTTGAACTTTGCTACAGTCCCCACCACTCCCTATCATGTGTACCCAGTCTGCTGTACCCATTTTTACTATCTTCTGGCTCTCAGTACAGCTTTTGAGTTTGCCACCTTTGCAACAGAGCTTTCTTCTAATTTACTTCAATTTTTACCTCCTTTCAAATTTAGTTTAATTTTACCTTAGTTCCTTTTTGGAAACCTCAGCCTTTGGATCTCTAATACTTCCCTTATCTGACTCACATCATCAACCTGCTGATTGGGGTGAACAGATGTGGTATAGACAGAACGTTCAACATTCTGAGAGTATTTGAGAAATTGGCTAATGATAATTAGGCCAAAGGGCATTATGACCAAAATAAGCACCTAAAGAAAGTAACAATCCCGCTGGGTATTTCTACTTTCATTACTCATTTCCTGTTGCTTTAGACCCCTTTAGAAGGTATTTGAAATAGTCTGTGAATCCAAAGTGGTAATGATTTATCAAGACATCTAACTCAGGTAAAACTCACAAAAGTCTTCTTTTTAACATTCCAAACAGATATAGTAGCACTACCTAGTAGAACTTAGAAAATAAAAGGTGTGATTAATAAGAAACTCCTATTGTGTTTAAATTAAAAGATGACATCAATAAGATCAACAGTTAATATTACCAATATAAACTATTTTTATTTTAATATGATTAATCCTTATTTACATGAATATAGATTTTACATTATCATGACATTGTGGAAGTCATTAACATTATATCACAAACTTTTCCATGTTGCTATCCAGTCTTATTTTTATTTTTTAAGGTTATCGTATCATGAATTTTATTTCAGATATCACATTAATCACTTTTTTCCCTCTTGTCCATTGAGATAGTTTTCCATTAATCGCTATGTGAAAGAATGCTGCTGGGAATAGCTCATGTCTTCAACTTTTCATTTATGCAACTTTTTCTCAGGAGTGAAATCACTGGTTAAAAATTGAACATCTTGGGACCAGCACATGTCATAATGGTTATGTTGCTGGACTCCCATGTATTCAACCACAGTTCAAGTCCTGGACCTGGCGGCTTAAAACTCATACATGTGCATGTGTGCCTAAAATCCCAAGAGGAGAATAGAGAAGGGATTGCTGTGGGGCCATCCCCCCCAGAGGATGATTTCTCACATTGTGTTTCTGTGTCTCCAGTGAGCACATGTGCCTATGGCAAAAATCTCTCTTAAAAAAAAAAAAGTTTAAAATCTTTGTGTTTTTTCCCTCCATTTTGATGTCGCTTCCCAAAAGGGTATATCAGTCTACTAAGAATGCCACAAAACTCATTTTCATGCATTTTTACCATTTTATACACACTATACATATCTAGCACTGCTAAGGCTAGTTAGCATTTATAAATGAGAGTGCCGTTATGTCATCTGAAAGTCTTTAGGTTTGAATAAGGAAAATGTCATTTGCCTTACTATGTACAGAATTAGAGCTGTGAATAACATGTGATCAGAATCATCAGTAGGCCTGAAAATCACTTTAATTGTAACTTAGCATATTGGTAAAAAATAAAAGAAAGTAAAAGTGTTACTGTAGCTTAAGGAATTTTCAGTTGTGTGTTATGGAATCAACCAGATAAATCATTCATAAATTTTTACCTGAAAAAAATCTAAGTACATTTTGGGGCTGGCAGGTGGCATGGTGATTAAGGGCTCTGGACTCCCACATGGCTGGCTGTGGTTTGAGTCCTGGACCTGGTGTCTTGCTTTCTCACTTTCTCTCACTCTCTCTCTCTCTCTCTCACTCTCTCTCTCTCTGGTCAAATTGAAATAAACAAGTAAATAAAGTTAAATAAAAAATAATTATTAAAAAATAGGTAACCACATTTTTCTAAAAGGTACTAGATAAATGAATTGCTATAGAACTTAACTAACCATTCACAATAAACGAACTGTAGCTCTAAAAATATTGACTTTATTGACAATATATATACTATTTTTTTTCTGGGCTAAACAATATTGGATAAGATATATTCAACATTATTTATAAAATGTTTACTATATTAAATGTTTTTGTAAGCTGAAAAGGAGAAAATATACCATATGAAACTGTCTTATATTCTATGCAAGAAATATCTTGAACCCAAGGTAAACAGATTTTATATTTTATTCATGAATTTAATATAAATTATTGATTATACGATTCACTGCCTAGTAATAAGATATTAATTATTTTAAAGAACAATTCATTCCCTGTTAATTTATCAGACTGTATTTGATAAGAATGATTTTCTAAAATGTATTTTTAACATACATTTTTAGGTGATTTTAACTATTCTAATGAGCAGCTATGGCATTATTTTTCTGTTGAGGGTCATTAGAGTTAGATTGATAAAAATGAAATTAGAGTCATTTGCTTTTTTATCTCTTGGTTGAGGAATTGAGAGATATATCAACCTTATTTAAAAATTTAAAACAGAACATAAAATAGTTTTACCCCATGGAAGAAAAACTTGCACATAGATTTCATTTCTGTGAGATGGTCAGCAGAAACCCATCTTCCTAAAGAATCATCTGTAGGGTGGGGAATTTGTATATTTTAAATAATTATTTACTAAATTTTATTTATTCATTTATTTATTTTTAATTGGACAGAAAGAGAGAGAGAGAGAGAGGGATGGGGGGGAGTGAGAAAGCAAGCCACCAGGCCCAGGACTCGAACTGTGGTCAACCATGTGGGAGTGTCCAGCACCTTAACCACCATGCCACCTGCTGGTCCCCGGGGAATTGATTTTTAAACATTAATTGACTGCTTTGCAGTAGTTGGTTAGTTTCTTGGATTTGTTGAGCTGCAATATTAGTACAGTCTTTCAGGGGAAAATTCAGGCACTTGCCTCCAACTTTGGCTCAGCCCCTGAAATTCCAGTTTCTGTGGTTGACTTTCTTGTTCTTGACTTTATCCCTGTCCTGGCACACAAACTTTCTTATACTTACCTTAGTTTTTTTTTTTGGAGAGATTTTCACTGTAGGGCGCGTGCGCTCGCCAGACAGACAGAGAGAGACATAGAGACAGAAAGCGAGAAATCACCCCCCAGGGGGGATGGTCACGCTGCAATCCCTTCTCCTCCATTCTCCTCTCGGGATCTTGGGCACGCACGCACACGCGCCCGGCGTGAGTTTTAAGCCACCGGGTCCGGGACACGAACCGCGGTCAACCACGTGGGAATCCAGCGCCATAGCCATTACACTAACTGCTGGTTCACTACTTACCTTAGTTTTTACAGTCTTGATTACCAGCTAATCTGAAAAGTTCCAACTAGCTTTGATGAACTTGAATCAAAAAGGACCTGATTGTCATTAAAGAGTTTGTAATCAGGCACATGGTGTATGTCTTGATAAAAGCAATGTAGCCAGCGTGTTGTCTTGATGCCTTAACTGCCTAGGCCTATATAATATAATAATAGTAAGTAAGAATAATACTATCCCACCATTTAATCAATACCTCAAGTCATTCCCCCAGAATATGTAAAAGGAATCTGTGTAATTCACAGGCAGGAGATACAGTTATATAATAAGGATCTGGCTACAGCACTTGTACAAGACAGAAAAAAGAAATGTCCAACTTGAAAAAGCAAGTTTAAATTCTCTTCTTGAAGTAATAGCCTAAGCAGTTTGCTGTTTACACTGTTTCCTCTTAGATATTTTGCTTCGTATCATTACAGCTCCCTTTTTCCCTCCCTCGGCCCTTTCCTCCTCCTTCCTCTTATACCATTACTGAAGTAGTGTGAAAGAATGGGATCGTTTTGAAATCTGAAAATTTCTGTGACATTTTAGATTTTACTGGCTCACAGAGCTCACAGAGATGTGTTAACCCTAGGTACAGAATCACTCCTTAGCTGTATAGCCATCAATACATACAAACATGTTCATAGTGAAAATTGTCTTTGCATTTCACTACACTCAAACATATAAATG